ATTATTATAAATACCAGGCACGGTCAATCTGAATTATAAAAACATTGACTGGCATTATATAACAGATAGACATTTTAACCAAGAACCTAAGGATCTGTTAACTATTAGTGCAGTATGTACGCTGTTCCTAATATTGCTATTTTTAGTAACTCTGATGGTGTTACTTCTAAGATCTGCAATTGCTTCTAATACTGTGTGAAATTTCTTATTATTGTTCCCAAAGCCCCGATGACTAAGGGGACCACTGAAGTGTGTTTCATCTACAAGTGAGATGTTTTGATTGTCAGATCTCTGTATTTTGTTAGTTTTTCCAATTCTTTATTTTCAACTCTGGCATCCCCTGAATTTGCACTATCAATGATCTAGACAGTTTTTGATTTTTTTTACTACTATGTCTGGCATGTTATGTTCAAGGTGTCTATCAGTTTGGATCCAGAAATCCCACAATATCTTGACTTCACAATTTTCTGATACCTTCTCTACCTGATGTTCCCATGTGTTTGGATATAGGTAGGTTACTTTTTTTTTTTTTTGCATAATGACCAGTTCACTAATTTTTCCACTGTATCATGTCTAGCAGGAAAGGAAGAATATACTGTACTGTATTTATTATTCCATCTCAGATAGCAAAATACTGTAGTGATCTGGCCTATTCTATTTCTCCTGTTTTCCTAACTTGCAGTTCAGCCTCTTCATTTGATTATAAAGGCATCGTTTCTGTCTTGAACATTTCAGCTTCTGAGCAGGAGTAGAAGATAATTGCAATAATTTTCTGTATTTGAGACAGACCTGTGTGTTTTGTTATTAAGTTGATACACTGCCTTTCCATGAAAAATAGTGCTTAAGCCACTCTTAGCATACATACCGTGTTTTCCCGAAAATAAGACAGGGTCTTATATTAATTTTTGCTCCAAAAAACATATTAGGGTTTATTTTCAGGGAATTTTTTTATTTTTTCATGTACAACAATGTACGTTTATTCAAATACAGTCATCTCATCTTCTGGTTGTTGCACAAGGGTGGAGGGCAGGGTTTCACTTAACTGGGGCTTATTTTGGGGGTAGGGCTTATATTATGAGCATGCTGAAAAATCATACTAGGGCTTATTTTCAGGTTAGGTCTTATTTTCAGGGAATAGACTCACAAAGAGAGTATAGCTCAATAAGAAGCTGATGACATATACCAAGATCCAGATCTATAGAGCCTGTGTCCTGAGCACACTCCTGTACTGCAGTGAGACTTGGACCCTTTGTGCATGGCAGGAGAGGAAGCTGAACACGTTCCATATGCGTTGCCTCCGACGCATTTTTGGTATCGCCTGGCAGGACAAAGTTCCAAATAGAGTACTCCTAGATGGAGCTGGAATTTTTAACATGTATACATTATTGAAACTACGATGTCTATGTTGGCTTGGGCATGTCATGAGAATGGCTGAAGGTCGGATTCCAAAAGATCTCCTGTATGGAGAATGAGTGCAGGAAAGCGTCCAAGAGAGAGACCACAGCTGCGATACAAGGATAACTGCAAGCAGGATCTGAAGGCCTTAGGAATGGACCTCAACAGATGGGAAACCTTTACATCTGAGCAGCATGTCAGTGCAGCATGGCCTCTCCCATTTTGAAGAGACCCTTGTCCAGCAGGCCGAGGCAAAGAGGCAGTCCCAAAACCAGCAAAATCAGGGAGCTGGACAGGGGACAGATTGCATTTGTCTTCAGCGTGGAAGGGATTGTCACTCTCGAATTGGCCTTCTCAGCCACACTAGATGCTGTTCCAAGTCCTCCATACAGAGCACGTTACCATAGTCTTTCGAGACTGAAGGATGCCTAACTAAGGTCTTATTTTCAGGGAAACACAGGGTAGTTGTGTATGTACGCAGCACTGATGATAACCACAAGAGGTCAGCAGAGATGAATTGTTACACATTGATTCTCAAATATAGTAATGTATACTAGTGAAAGCTGCCTTCAATTACTTCACCTGCTCTTAGTCCAGTGTACAGTAGTGTCTGTTGACTGACATCTGTGCTGTATAATATGATGCTACAGTATTTACAAAGTTTTGTGGTTCTTCCATCAAAGGAAACAAAATGAACAAAAATGAATGAGTAGGTAAATTTGACATTCATTTGGTAACCATTTGTTTTGCATTCTCATCAGTAGTATGGTAACAAAGACATTATATAAGGGGGAGTGGGCATATAATTGGTCACAACATGCACCTGTGATTTATCATCATTTGAGTACAATGCCCCATACACAAAGATGATACAAAGGAGAATGCTTTAAAGGGATCTGTTTTCTCTAGGCAATGCACAATGAGCTCATTGAAGAGGACAAATCTACAGTACATTGTTTGAGACCAAAAGCCTGACTGGATTTTTCAAAGCAGGCTGAATATTTACAGTATTTAGCCGTTACAATATGTCTTGAGAATTAAATGAGAATTTTTATACATATAAAAGAACATAATAGTTGCCTTGCTGGAGCAAAACAAAGTCCATCTAGTTCAGCATTCTGTTACCACAGAATCTAGCGAAATATCTCTGTGATGGAGCTGGCAGAGTTCCCAATGCACCTATTGGGAAGCCACCTGAGTCCCACTGAATCCTAGCTGACCCTTTTAGCTTAATTCTGCCTAATTCTGCCACTTTAATCACCTACTCACGTGAAACATACAGTATTTTAATGCACTTTATTATTTTATTTTTATTTTTGCTTTCTTGTATTTTGTATTTTAATTGTGTGTGTGTGTGTGTGTGTGTGTTGTGTGTTGTGTGTTGTGTGTTTGTGTTTGTAAAAACTGGCCAGAGTAGTCTTTGGTCAGAGGGGTGGAATAAAACTGAAACAAATAAACCTCTGAGATGTTGATCATTGTTCTTGTGTGTGAATGGTACATTTTTAACACATATTTGGAAAACCTGATGTTTGTAAATGGAACCAAATCTGTGGCTCTCTGGAGGTGGTTCAGTTCCTAAGAGCTTGGTTAGGAAAGTATGGTATTGGTCTGCGCTGAGCAAAATACACTCTGCCCATACCCAGATGGAATTTTCCTCCCATACTCCAGGACTGATTAGTGACACTGAAAGAGATCTTAGTGGTACCTTTTGGTCACACATGCCTAGCAGCAACTTTGTATTGGGCCTATTTCCACATATAAATGGCAATTTTAAAAGGTATTTTGGCAAAAGAACCCAAAAGTATATTTATTTATTTATTGCATTTTTATGCCGCCCATCTAGACATAGTCTACTCTGGGCTGCTCACAACATAGAAAGTAAAAACAATTTAAAATATACAGTTTTACATAGATAAAAGCAAACAATATAAAATATAAAATCATAGAATTACAATTTTAACAATTAATTTGAAGCAAACAGTATAGTATCCTGTTTTGAACTGTGGTTACTCCACAAGATGGCTGCAAATCGTCCACCCCAGGGCATGAAGGCAAAAGCCTGTTGTTTCTCTCCAGTCTGCTTTTCAGATACATTGGAGTTTCATTCGTGGTTTATTTTTCATTATGCCCTTTTAAAATGGTCTTAAATTACTATTCATCACTATCTGTTTTGCAGCGATTCCCAGTACTGTTGTGTGAAGAAGTGCTTGCTTCTGAATGGCCTGACTGAAATTCTTGGCTATCAGTTAACAGGATGGCATCGAGTTTTAACATTATGAGGGAATGTAGGGGACGCTTTCAATCAATTTTTTTCCACACGTAGTGTAAGAAATCTGTTTTAAATTTCTCTTCCCCCCCTCCCCGCATAAATAAATAAAAACCCATAAAATGGATGTATTCTAATTTGGGGACAGTAAAATTATTTTAATCGTTTTCTGAGGAAAAGGGGGAAGAAGGATCCTGCTCAGTTTCTTCATACACCTTTGTATGTTTCACATCACAAAACTGCCTTATCGTTCCCTTTCCCAGTGTATTAAGTAAAGAGAAACTCATAAAAGGTGGACACTTCTAATTTTTCTGTCAGTTAAAAAGTGGTCGCCCAGCAACGAAGCCAAGTGCGCTCTGCATGCTCTCAGAGGCAATTTTCCATACTTTGGCGCGGAATGGTAGGTGAAAATAATACTGTTGGGGATAGTTAAGAAAGCTCGAGATATGAGGTCTCTTTCTCCTTCCGCCACCAGGTTTTTTTCCCCAGGTTTTCTCTCCTTCAGTCCACCCGCCCTCGGGGGATGCGCGCCTTCAAATCTTCCAGTCTCACCTAGAAACAAATAGAAGGCGCTCGAGCTCCAAAGTTAAACAAAACCTGTCAAACTCCCTCCCCCGCCCCCCAGGTCGCGAGACCAATAGGAGGGTCCGGCCAGCGGCTCAGCTAAATTTGCATAACGGCCGCCTAGAAGGCGTTTCAAGGCCGTCCATGTGTCCGCCCCCACACCTTCCTCCCGTTTCGGCTTCGTTTTTGAATCCTTATTGGTCGCTAAGATCATCACTCCTTCTAGTCTAAGCCCGCCTCCTCTGGAAGCTTCTGGGTCGGACAGAAAGAAAAGGCGGGGACATAGAGAAACGATTGGTCAGAGGGCGGTAAGGAGCGACGTCATTGGTCGGCTGGGTTCTGGCAAGTTCCAGAAGCGGGCGCTCTGAGGGTATAAAAGCTACCCGAAACAGAGCAACGACATATCGCGTCTTGAGTCGCTGTTGAGCGTTGTTGATACGCGGGAAGAGGCGTGAGAGACTATCGCGGTTTTTCTTTGCTTTCGGAGCGTTTGGGAAAGGTTGTCATCGCGCCGCTGCAACTATGTCGGGGAAGACGCCAGCCATAGGCATCGACCTGGGCACCACGTACTCCTGCGTGGGGGTTTTCCAGCACGGGAAAGTGGAGATCATCGCCAACGACCAAGGCAACCGCACCACTCCCAGCTATGTGGCCTTCACGGACACCGAGCGCCTCATCGGAGATGCAGCCAAGAACCAGGTGGCGATGAATCCCAACAACACCATCTTCGATGCCAAGCGCCTCATCGGCCGCAAATTCGACGATCCCACCGTGCAGTCCGATATGAAACACTGGCCTTTCCGTGTGGTGAGTGAAGGCGGGAAGCCCAAGGTGCAGGTCGAGTACAAGGGAGAGCACAAGACCTTCTTCCCTGAGGAGATTTCTTCCATGGTGCTGACAAAGATGAAAGAAATTGCCGAGGCTTATCTGGGACGCAAAGTCCAGAGTGCTGTCATCACCGTGCCTGCCTACTTCAATGACTCCCAGCGCCAAGCCACCAAGGATGCTGGCACCATCACGGGCCTCAACGTCCTGCGCATCATTAATGAGCCCACTGCTGCTGCCATTGCCTATGGTTTGGATAAGAAAGGCAGTAGAGCTGGTGAGAAGAATGTACTGATCTTTGACTTGGGTGGTGGCACCTTTGATGTCTCGATCTTGACCATTGAAGATGGCATCTTTGAGGTGAAATCTACAGCAGGTGATACTCACCTGGGTGGCGAGGACTTTGACAACCGCATGGTGAGCCACTTTGTGGAGGAGTTCAAGCGCAAGCATAAGCGTGACATTGCTGGCAACAAGAGGGCAGTTCGACGGCTCCGTACAGCCTGTGAAAGGGCCAAGCGTACCCTCAGCTCCTCCACCCAAGCTTCTATTGAGATTGACTCCTTGTTTGATGGCATTGACTTCTACACATCCATCACCCGTGCCCGCTTTGAGGAACTCAATGCTGATCTTTTCCGTGGCACCCTTGAGCCTGTGGAGAAGGCCCTGCGTGATGCCAAGCTCGACAAAGGGCAGATCAATGAGATTGTGTTGGTTGGCGGCTCCACCCGTATCCCTAAGATCCAGAAGTTGCTACAGGACTTCTTCAATGGCAAAGAGCTCAACAAAAGTATCAACCCTGATGAAGCTGTGGCTTACGGTGCTGCTGTGCAGGCTGCAATCCTGATGGGTGACAAGTCTGAGAATGTGCAAGACCTTCTGCTCCTTGATGTCGCACCACTGTCACTGGGCATTGAGACGGCTGGTGGTGTGATGACTGCCTTGATTAAACGCAACACTACTATTCCTACAAAGCAGACCCAGACCTTCACCACCTATTCAGACAACCAGAACAGTGTGCTGGTGCAGGTGTATGAGGGTGAACGAGCCATGACTAAGGACAATAACTTGCTAGGCAAGTTTGACCTAACAGGTATTCCACCAGCACCCCGTGGTGTGCCACAAATCGAAGTCACTTTTGACATTGATGCAAATGGCATTCTTAACGTCACAGCAGTGGACAAAAGCACAGGCAAAGAGAACAAGATTACAATTACTAATGACAAGGGCCGCCTCAGTAAAGATGACATTGACCGCATGGTGCAAGAAGCTGAGCGTTACAAGGCGGAGGATGAGGCCAACCGGGAACGGGTGGTTGCCAAGAATTCCCTGGAATCCTATTCCTACAACATCAAGCAGACTGTTGAAGATGAAAAGCTGAAAGGCAAGATCAGTGAGCAAGACAAGCAGCGGATACTTGAGAAGTGCCAGGAGGTGATCAGCTGGCTCGATCGAAACCAGATGGCTGAGAAGGATGAGTACGAGCACAAGCAGAAGGAGCTGGAGAAGCTGTGCAACCCCATCATTACCAAATTGTACCAGGGTGCCGGAGCAGCGGGTGCAGGTGGTGCTCCAGGTGCCGGGCCAACCATTGAAGAAGTGGATTAAGCTACCATAGACTGGACTTTAAGTGTAACTGTCACTTGCTGTTATTGTTTTCTCTATTCAGTCAGTGTCATTGCTGGAGGGAATTTCCTGGGGTGGGTGTGGGTGTGGGAGAGGTGTTAGTTTCTGCTTCACCAAGGGATGCCAGCTTAAACGTTTTTGTTGCAGGTAGCAAGGTGTTGTTCTTTATTTATACCCATGCTAGTCAGTGGATTTGAGTTCATGTTCACTGTTTAAATAACAACTTGAGCATTACATCTGAGAGAAAAACATTTCAAGAGAGCATGGAAAATGTTAAATGTATTTTTAAAAGCATTGCAGTTTTTTGTATCTTTTTGGTCTGGTTACTCTGACAATTTGGTTTGGTTATTCTGAAATTTTGGTAATAAAATTTATTTGAACTTTAAGTCTCTGTCTCTCTAGAAGTAAGCTTTCTGTGGGATGTTGGGATGTCAGATATGGGGTTAAGTAGACACTGGATTTTATCAGAAGAATGGTGAAGCATGTGAACTTGAAATAATTGCAATGATATGGGGTTACAGGCAGAATTACCTTTTTTGGTGGTCAGAGTTAATGGTCATGCTGTATCAGCTCTGGGCCACTTTGAGAAAATGTGAAGATTGTTGTTGAGTTCAGCTAAGATTGCTGCCTGGCAGAAACCCATTTGACAAGTCTTTCCAGTAATGTCTTTCTGTTCAAGTGAACTGTCTCATTGTGTAGGTGTTGATAGGACTTTTGGGAGGATAAAGTGCCTGTCCTGTTTTCATCTGTTAACTGCAGTTAGAAGCAGTCTTTAAGGGGTTAAAGATTTAGCAGTGTGTTAGTGGCACCGGATGATATGTGATAAAACAAATGGACTTAAATGGCTCCTTTTAACTCCTGGCAAGAAGCAGGGGAAAACTGTTATTAGAAATAATGAGAGGGGAGCTGGCTTTCTAATTAGTTTACTGTTTTATTAAACCTGTTCAGCAGCTAAAAGCAGTTTGTGGGCAGGGTGGGGTGGATGCAAATATTGAACAGACTGGTTTGGTATTTTATATCTCATTATACAAATGGGGGTGGAACATTGAAATGAAACCAAGCTGAAGGGGCAGGGGTGAGGAGGCTGCTTTGGTCTGTTGCAGGAAAAAAAGGTCATATTGTACCTTAAAAACTAGCAAGCTTTAATTTGATGTAAGTTTTGGAGAATGTAGTCCATATCTTCAGATGGTCTTGCCAGTTTAAGTTGCAGGTTTATTAATCCAGAGTTTGTTCAATATAGGGCTGCTGCAGTGAATAGCACCTAGTATTTGCCTGCATGCAAATAACTCCTTGTCAGCTGAACTTCATTTCTGTAGTTCTGTAGATAGATAAATGAATTTACTACCTCTTGAATGTTCTCAAAAGGAAATGCTGTCTGCTAGGGATTATTCAAAGAGGCTGGACCTGCACCCAAGTGCCTTTGCTAAGAGACCTGAGAGTGCCACTTAGCAAAGTGAACTGGTGTAGATCTCAAAACTGGCATAACTCATACCACAGTGCAGTCTCTTTTCCAAGTCACAGCATGTTTACATTTCAATTTAAATGAAGATCACTGCATATGTGTTGTCTGTATAACAAGGAGAGTTATTTCTAATGCAAATAACAGTGCAGTTATAGTAGGAAGTCTTTAAGTAAAACAGTTCCCTGTTGGCCTTGTGGAATTACTACATTCAAATATACATACGTAGATACTTTTAAATATAGTTATGAATAAAACAAAAAGCACTACAAAGTGAAAAGAATCCAAGTAGTTCTACATAATGGTCAGAATTCTGGAGGCTACAAAATGGTGCAGGGGGCTGTTGCAAAAAATCCAGGAGCTTTTCTTACCAAAAGAAAAATAGTTCTTTATGTTATGTATGCTCTCATTTTTTAAACTTACCATTTGAGCTCACTGAAGGACAGACTGTATCACATGTTTAAGGGACTGGTAACAGGAGTGAAAGTTATTGTGTGGGTTGTTAATTAATTGTGTTTCCAAAAGTTATAAACAGCTTCTAGCACTCTCATAGGCATCCTTCAGTCTCAGCAACAACAAAAACAGTAAAAGACTGCTTTCTTGAAAAATCTTTTCCCTACCAACTTTTCCTGTAGTGTTGCAAGAAGAAAGCTGTTTGTAACTCACTGGGATAAATTATTCCCCTACAACAGTGGTCTGGGAACGGGTAAATTACCCCAAATGGGGTAAAAATGAAAATCCTGGGGGTAATGAGGGCACAACTCTAACCCCTTTCCTCCTCCTCCTCTTCTGCCCGGAGAAGGGTCCCCGGCTGCCCGATCGCCCCCTTCTCTAACCCCTTTCCTCCTCCTCTTCTGCCCGGAGAAGGGTCCCCGGCTGCCCGATCGCCCCCTTCCCACCCTCTTCTTTGGCCCGGCTGCAACCAAACCAAGGCAGCTGGTGATGGGCCATGGTGGAGGGTGAGGCCGGGGTGAGTGGCTGGAGTGCCCTTCCTTCCAGTGCCTGGAGAGGTGGATTGGGATAGAGGGGGAGGGCGCGGCCATGACGGCAGCCCAGACCAGGCTCAGCATAGAGGGGGAGGGCGTGGCCATGGTGGCAGCCCAGACCAGGCTCAGCCTCCCAGCACCGGGCCGCCACCACCCCATTCCCGGAGGATCCCATTGGGTGGCAGCGGCACTCGCCTGACCATGTGGCTTCTTTTGACGGTGCCTCCGTGCTGGCCGGCCAGGTCTGGCAGAGCCTCTCGCCCTCCGTGCAGTAGCTGTCACGGTGTTTCAACAGCAAGGCCCGCGGGAGCCTTGATGCCAAGGCCCAACGTGGCCATCCCAGTGAGCAGCCGCTGGAGCTGGTGCTGGAGCAGGAGGCGGTGTCGGGCGCCTCCGGCGGGTGAGCCACCTGCTGCTCTTCGATGGCCGCTCAGGAGCCACCCGCTGGTGGAGAAGGGGAGCCGCCCCCAAAGGGCCAAGGACAGAGTGAGGCCCGCCAGGCGGAGAAGGAGGAGGCCTGGGTGCAGGCAGCGAGGCTTCGTTGGTGGCGCTTGACTTGCCGTGCATGACCGAGCTCCTTCCTTTTAAATCAAGGGGACTGAGTGCGGCCCCGCCAGGTGGCGGCAGAGGAAGCGGCAGTGGCCCGGGCGCGGGCGCCGCCGCTCAACTGACCATGTGTGACCAAGTTCCATCCTTTCAAATCAAGGGGTAATGTCGGCATATATAAAATTTTTAGGGGGTAAAAGGTAAAAAAGTCCCCTGACCCCTGCCCTACAACATGCTGTAGGGCAGTACACAGAAAAAGACATTCCCCTTGTGTTTTTATGGAGCAACTGTGATAGAGAATAAAACCTCGCTGCCATGTCCAGCTGGCTATCAGACTCTTGTGACATGCTCCTTTGTAGGATATAGAGCTTGAAAACACTGAGTTGAACATATGGCAGCATTTTCCAGCCAACAGGGCTGGTAGGCATATTGCTGGACAGTTCTGGCACTTGTAGTCCAAAAGAAAACTGGACTCCGATAGGAATCTTTGCTACACTGCACAAAATTGCAAATTGATTTATTATATTTCTATCTCACATCTCTCTTCTGTCCAATACTAGGTTCAGCCAGTAGTTGTCTCAATGTGCCCAGAAACCATGCAGGATTTCCTATATATGTACAAGATTGTGGGATAAAAAGATATATGTGCTTCTACATTTATGAAAACTCTTGCATGCCTGGAAAAACTCCTGTTACCTTTGGCCTAGCTGTGTTTGCACAGAAGTCTTGTCAATTGATCTCCGTAGGGTTTACTTGCCTGTAACTGTTCGGACTTGCAGTCTATTCTAATGGTAGAACAAAGAAGGATTTAGTGCTGCCATTGAAACAGAAATGCTTGATATTTAGATATCGATGCTGATAACTTGCAGTGACATGAGAACTGATGTTGCCAGCCCTTTGCAAATGTTTTTAAAGGAGTTTCTATTTGTTTTGAGAGCAGAACAAAGCTGCAAAGGAACATTTGAGGGAGGAGCAAAATCAGATTACAATTGCCAGAAACCTTTCATATTTGGTGCTAGTATAGCCACCTAGAGTGGTCTTAATAGGTGGGATATAAATAAAATAAATAATAAATAGTTGAGTCCATTTACGAGACTGAGTAATATTTTACAATAGTCCTAAAATGTTGTCGTTGGTTCCTAGTTTGTTTTCTGGCTGGGCTCCGGCCAGAATCGTGCTTTTGACCTTTTAAAACCTTAAATGTCTTTCTGGGTTACTGCCACTTTTTACAGGGAGTAGACAAGACACAACCAGATAAATAGGTTACTAAAGAATACAGACTTCCTGCCATTTTAAATATAGCTCCATTTTTGTCTGGGAAGGTGGATCAAACAGGCCCATGGCAAAAAAACAAAAGTTTGGAAGTATGCTACCTACCCTTATCATCTAACATGCGAAAGGGGGACAGCTTTCCCACGGTACACCAAATGATATCCCAACAGACGTGAAACTGCTGGAGTATGCAATTGTTACACTGCCAGGCTCTTCATTGACATCCAAGGCCTAGCTGTTGCAACTGGCTATCAGAGTCCAGGTAGGAGACAGCTCCATTAAGATCACAAAACTAGACCCTAAAATGTATGCGCGCGCGCGCACGCACGCACGCACGCAAGAGTCCAGGTAGGAGACAGCTCCCTTAAGATCACAAAACTAGACCCTAAAACATATGCACGCACGCACGCGCACGCGCACGCGCGCACGCGCGCGCACACACACACACACACACACACACACACACACACACACACTTGCGCTTTTCGGCGGGGGGGGGGAACCAAAACCTATCTTCATAAGTCTTGTTATGGCTAGCATTGTTTTATCTTTACATGTCCAAAGTTGTCAAGTAATGGGCCGGAGTGTTCTGTTAAAGTGCGGCTGGCTCAAGACAGTTCTCACCTTCCAGAGAGGAGAAAGGACAAGATATCTAGGAGAAACAGATGGAGGGCTACCACAGCTCTGCACCTGCCACCTTCTACCTAATGATAGGGCTGGCCCTGACTGCAGGGTAAATCTGAAGGCTATCCACATTGGGAAAGTCTCTTTCTAGAACCTGTAACACTTCAAAGGGAGAGTAGAAGCTATTGTTTTTCCTTTCTATTCTGCTGGCCTTCAGTTTGTGAAATGTGAATACAGGGAAGAAGATTATAAGGATTTGTAGGTGGTTTGTTAAAACTGCAGGAGGTGCTCCCGTGGGCACATGCAAGTTAGGTCCACATGAGTGTACAAAGAAGACTAGACAGTGTTCTCTCTTTGATGTGTTAAATTAATCAAAATTTTAAGAAGAGCTAGGAAATACTAGAGAATCAAGAAGCGCAATCTGCCAAAGGCATCTGTTGGCAAGAATTGTTCCGGGGCTCTGAGCAATTCTCATGAATTTTAGGGGAGCTTGTGTAACAGGTGTGGTGCTGGCAAAATTAGACTTTTAGGAGAAAAAGAGAAGAGATGAATCCCTTTAAGCTTTGCTACATTTTGCCTCCTGCACGGTGGTATTTGGAGCGTAGGCAGTCACAAGGGCCAAGGAGGAGGACTAGAATTTTTTGTTCTAAGAGTTTTAGGAGAGGTAGCCATGGTAGTCTGTGCTAGCATATCAGGCCAAAAAATAAAAAATAAAAATAAAAATGACAAAAACGTTGCACCTTAAAGACTAACTGCTTTGTTTTAATGTGTGACAAACACGTTGCACCTTAAAGACTAACTGTTTTAATGTGAGCTTCTGTTCACAAGTCAACTTCCTCAGTTTCTAAGAGATCCCTCAAAGACACAAATAATCTTGGTGAGTTATATTTTCCTTCTTTGGTTTTATTAAAGCACTCTTCACTTTTTCAACAGCTGTAGCAGTTAATACCATATTAACAGCCATGGTGCCTTACTACAGAATCCTTTCTGTTTTGGTGAAATACTTAGAATTTCCTGCTAGAAATCTACTGCCCTTCCTAGAAGTAAAACAAAAGACATCTAGTCCCCCATGAAACTATGGATTGCAGGTTTCAATGGCAATTAAAGTGGTGTCAATCTGTGGTAACTTGAAGTGTAGTTATTTTTGTTGTTTAGTTAAGTCCTGTCCTACTCTTTGTGACCCCACGGACCAGAGCATGTCAAGCCCTCCTGTTTTCCACAGCCTCCTGAGGTTGGGTCAAATTCATGTTGGTAGCTTCCTTTGTCAGCAAGGTGATGTCTCTGCTTTTTAAGACGCTGTCTAGGTTTGCCACCGCTTTCCTCCCAGGAAGCAGAATTCTTTTAATTTCGTGGCTGCTGTCCCCATCTGCAGTGATCATGAAGACCAAGAAGGTAAAATTTGTCACTGCCTCCATATGTTCCCCTTCTATTTCCCAGGAGGTGATGGGTTACTTTGGAAATTTCACTTAGAAATATAAAAGAATCCCTGATATTTTGCTTGGAGAGACCCACTTCTGTACATAAATTGTGTCCCTGTGACTCCTTTTTATTGTGTGTTTAGTCGTTTAGTCGTGTCCGACTCTTTGTGACCCCATGGACCAGAGCACGCCAGGCCCTCCTGTCTTCTACTGCCTCCCGGAGTTGTGTCAGGTTCATGTTGGTTGCTTCGCAGACACTGTCCAGCCATCTCATCCTCGGTCGTCCCCTTCTCCTCTTGCCATCACACTTTCCCAACATCAGGGTCTTTTCCAGGGAGTCTTTTCTTCTCATTAGATGGCCAAAGTACTGGAGCCTCAGCTTCAGGATCTGTCCTTCCAGTGAGCACTCAGGGTTGATTTCCTTTAGAATTGATAGGTTTGTTCTCCTTGCAGTCCAGGGGATTCTCAAGAGTCTCCTCCAGCACCACAATTCAAAGGCAAACAGCTGTAGCAGTTAATACCATATTAACAGCCATGGTGCCTTACTACAGAATCCTGGACTTTCTATTTTGGTGAAATACTTGGAATTTCCTGCTAGAAATCTACTGCCCTTCCTAGAAGTAAAACAAAAGATGTCTAGTCCCCTACGAAACTATGGATTGCAGGTTTCAATGGCAATTAAAGTGGTGTCAATCTGTGGTAACTTGAAGTGTAGTTATTTTTGTTGTTTAGTTAAGTCCTGTCCTACTCTTTGTGACCCCACGGACCAGAGCATGTCAAGCCCTCCTGTTTTCCACAGCCTCCTGAGGTTGGGTCAAATTCATGTTGGTAGCTTCGATGACAGTGTCCAACCATCTCGTCCTCTGTCGTCCCCTTCTCTTGCCTTCACACTTTCCCAACATCGGGGTCTTTTCCAGGGAGTCTTCTCATGAGATGGCCAAAGTAATGGAGCCTCAGCTTCAGGATCTGTCCTTCCAGTGAGCACTCAGGGTTGATTTCCTTCAAAATGGATAGGTTTGCTCTCCTTGCTCTCCTTGCAGTACAGGGGACTCTCAGTAGTCTCCTCCAGCACCACAATTCAAAAGCATCAGTCCTTTGGCCGACGTGCTCTGTATGGAGGACTTGGAACAGCGTCTAGTGTGGCTGAAGAGGCCAATTCGAGAGTGACAATCTTCCACACTGAAGAGAAATCCAATCTGTCCCCTGTCCAGCTCCCTGGTTTTGCTGCTTTTGTGACTTCCTCTTTGCCTCGGCCTGCTGGACAAGGGTCTCTTCAAATTGGGAGAGGCCGTGATGCACTGCCTGCGTCCAGGCTGAACGGTCAGATGTCAGGGTTTCCCATCTGTTGAGGTCTATTCCTAAGGCCTTCAGATCCCGCTTGCAGATATCCTTGTATCGCAGCTGTGGTCTCCCTCGGGGGTGATTTCCCTGCACTAATTCTCCATACAGGAGATCCTTTGGAATCCGACCGTCAGCCATTCTAGAAAGGGACACAACCCTTGGCCAAAATGCTGTGTGATGCAGTAAAGCATGTTAGAGTAGGCCCGTTGAATCAACAGGGATTTGGTGAGTCAGCTCATTGCTTTAAATGGGCCTACTTTGTGACTTTAGTTTCAGTTGACTCAATTGAACTCATGGACTATCTGTGAATAACTAAAATC